GAGAAGAGAAGGCTCTGGGGAGACCTTCTAGTGGCCTCCCAGTACCTGAAGGGGCTCCAGGAAGGCTGGGGAGGGACTTTTCATAAGGACAGTTAATGACAAAACAAGGAGAAATGTGTTTAAACTGAAAGAGGGAAGGTTTAGATTAGATATTAGGAAGAAATTGTTGGCTGTGAGGGTGGTGAGACAGTGTCCCAGGTTGGCCAGAGAAGCTGTGGCTGCTCCTCCCTGGAAGTGTTCTTGGCCAGGCTGGATGAGGCTTTGAGCAACCTGGTCTAGTGGAAGGTGTCCCTGCTGCTGGCAGGGGGGTTGGGACTGGATGAGCTTTAAGGTCCCTTCCAACCCAAACCATTCTATGATTCTATGATTCTATGAAGCCTTGGGGCGACAATGTCTCAGGAGAAGACAGTCTCACTTAAGGAGCTGTGAGGTTCTTCAGAACATCTACAGCTGCCATGTGGACCTGCTAACTCTGCTTTGATAACCCACATAACACAGCATCATACCAGGTTCCCCAGTCACAGCTGGATTAGGGGCAACCTCCTAATAAGCACGATGTCCTTGCAATGCCAACCTTGCAATCAAAATAAGAAAGAGGGTAACCACATTTCCCCAGCTGTGCTGAAAAGGCAGCAAGAAAAGAAGTCAGACGTCCTGATTCTCCAGCCAGGTCTCTATCTATGACACCATCCTGCCTTCCCAGCTCACCAGCTTGGTGCTCTTTATCATATCAGCCTGGCTTAGCACCTCCTCTTGGGGCACTTGTGTTTTTCAGCCTGTCTCGTACCACTTAGGAAATGTGCTCTGACAAGGTCACTGTCCAGAACATCTGCCTGCGCTCACACAGTAACACAACGCTTTGGGCTGTCAAAGAAACTGGCACTCTGCAGCCTCGACAGAAATTTCTCATTTTCCAAGCAAAATGTCACAGGGACTGCCAGACTGGATGGGACTGGAGGTCCAGCTGTCTCTGACAGCCCTCAGTACCAGAGGCTTCAGCAGAAGATGTAAAACAATGATACACTGGACAGGATAGCTCCCCCCATCACTGTATCCTTCTGAACCCCTCAAGGCTGGAGGTTTGCTCATGGAGTGGGAGAGGATTTGCTCTCTTTTCACTCTGGAAGATTCTTACTGTACTTTCTGCATCCTATTTGTAGTTGTTTCCTAAGCAAACAGGAGAGGCCAGGCTGCTCCAGGGTGGCTGCATTTTGCCTGGCTCCATAGCACCCATCTTCAAAGCCTTCCCACAGCCATCATAAATTTGGACTCCAAATTACACTCTTACCACATGGCAGCACTGGAAAGTTTCCTTTTCCTCTAGTGTGTTTTCCAGTGTGGGAGCCTGACAGAGTGGTTTCCTTGGCCATCAGTAATGGGACAGTCCTTCCCACCAGCTGGGTTGAGGGGTTAGCTCCCATCCTTCCAAACCATAAGCACTCCTGGCACCTCTCCCTTGCAGCGACAAGCCAGAAATAATTATTAGTTTTTTAACTTCCTGTGCTCCAGCTTCTCCTGCATCATCACCACCTTGTGTGTGATGCAGCCGGGCAAACAAGAGTGACTATTTGCACTTAAGCAATGACCTCAGGCTTGGAAAAATTTGCTATCGGAAGTGTCTTGTTTTTCTTTTTTCCCTCTCTGCAATTCACATAGTGAATCAGAAAGAGATTTGTGCATGTAGTGGCTACAAAGGGACAGGGACCCTGGGCTGCAGCCTCTGATCTTGTCCTGTCAGGTATGTTCAGGAGGGAAAAACATGTCCAGAGCTTGGAGGTGAGGTTGTGTGTGAGAACCTGCTTTTGCTGTAGTGCCAGTCACTGCGTGTCCCCACTCAGGGATATCACTCTGGAAACTGAGGCACGGGAAGAAAGATCGAAGAGCAGCACCTTGCTACACATGAATGTTTTAGGAAGTGATGCTTTGAAGTGGGGATGCCACAAATGGAAAAAATAATGACAAGAGACTTTCAACACAAGGAAGAAGCCAGTGTCCTTGTCTAGTGTTACAGCTGGCTCCTTCCTCTCCTCTGAAAACATAAAAAATTAGATTAGGCTCCAATAGATTAGGATCTCTTACTCCCTGTGTACTCCACCTATCATCACAGATGTTCCCTAATTCATTTGTTAATCTCTGCCTCGGTCATACCACCCATATTACAGACCATACCAGGAGCTCCCAACAGCAAGAGCAGCAGGGTTTGGCCCTTCCTTCCCTCCTTCCTTTCAGAAAAGCCATCACGTTCCCTCTGACCTCTCAGCCACTTCACGCTGTATTAATAGATCTTGGCTTGAAACGTGCAGTGCTGAAGCTGCTGTCTCAGAAGGGTTTGCACTGGTGATAAGCAGCTGGTGTTTCCAAAGAGCTGTCAACCTGCTTCACAAGAGATGCTATAAAAAGTCTTTCTCCAGGAAAACCTCTCCATGGCTGTGTGGGACACTGGGCACACTGTGAGGGTGGTGAGACAGTGTCCCAGGTTGGCCAGAGAAGCTGTGGCTGCTCCTCCCTGGAAGTGTTCTCGGCCAGGTTGGATGAGGCTTTGAGCAACCTGGTCTAGTGGAAGGTGTCCCTGCTGCTGGCAGGGGGGTTGGAACTGGATGAACTTTAAGGTCCCTTCCAACCCAAACCAGTCTGTGATTCTATGATTCTATGATCACAGACCTCCCAGGACAGGGCAAAGGAGAAAGCTGGAGAGTAGGAAAGATGGGGTGCAGGGAGAGGTACCTCACTGCCCCATTTTTGGTGGAAAGGGAGCACACATCTGCAGTGGCAGGGAGGCAGAGGAAGGGAAAGGGCACAGGGGAGGTAGAAGGTTAAGCTGAACAAAGAGAAGAAGAGAGGGAAGGTGAAAGTGGAGGAGGGAGGATTTTGGTCCCCCCCTTGGATGCTCAGCATTGCCTCTCTCATCACAGAGCTGCTTGAAGGATGACAAGGAAGCAGATGTTTGCTCTGGTCTTGTCACCAGAGCAAAGAGGAGCCCCAGCTGCAGCCCAGGCACAACTCCTAAGGATAGCTGTGGAGAATCCTATGGGATCCCACAGCTTCAGCCTGCCCCGGCATGGCGGCAGCCTCACTACATCCTCCAAGAGTCCATCGGTTTACACGTGAGCCAGGAGCAAGGAGATTAACCTCACCTAACGTTCTATAAACCAGAGAACATCCAATCATAGAATCACAGAATCACAGACTGGTTTGGGTTGGAAGGGACCTTAAAGCTCATCCAGTCCCAACCCCCCTGCCAGCAGCAGGGACACCTTCCACTAGACCACGTTGCTCAAAGCCTCATCCAACCTGGCCTTAAACACTTCCAGGGAGGAGCAGCCACAGCTTCTCTGGCCAACCTGGGACACTGTCTCACCACCCTCACAGTGAAGAACTTCTTCCTAATATCTAATCTAAACCTCCCCTCTTCCAGTTTAGAGCCTAATCTATCCCTATGGTTAAACTAAGGCACTAGCAGAAGGTTTCCTTTTGACCAAAACCCATTCAGCATGTGCTGAATCCTTGGTCAATTGTTTCAAGTGCTGTTCCCTGCACTGTTAAAAGCTGCAGCCTGAGCATCGTACACGTTACATCTGAATCTCGTTACATCTCTGCTGGCTTGAAGAGGCCTTCAACGCTGGGCTGCTACTTCCCACAAAGATAATTACAGCTGATGACTATGATACTTTAATCTTTTTCCTGCATAGAACAAATACTGATCTGGAGTCATGAACAGCGGGTATGTGAATCCTGCTCCACTGCTAACTGGTGCAAGTCACTTGGTCAAAATCAGAGGGTTGTTGAAAACACTGGCATTTATTCTTCGTGCCTCCAACTGCTAAGAGGAGATAACAGCGTTTCACCCTCTCGAAAGGGTGTTGTGAGGATTAGGTAATGACTATCTCAGCAGCGTGGTGAAGGGAAGTGTTGAGTAATGTCAATAGCCTGACGCCAACCGTTCCGGATGCACGAAGCCTAAAAAAGCCCTCTGAGAGCAAGAGGGGCCCCTGGGGCAGCCTGACCCTTGGGACAGGACAGGCACTGGGGAGGGGACAGGTCTCAGTCCCCAGCTTGGTGCTCCCAGGGCACCATGCTCCCAACAATGTCACAGGCTGAGACTCATCCCCCATCTCCCCAACACAAGAAAGACCTGGACCAGTTAGAACGAGTCCAGAGGAGGCCACGAGGATGATGCGAGGGCTGGAGCAGCTCTGCTGTGAGGACAGGCTGAGAGAGTTGGGGCTGTTCAGCCTGGAGAAGAGAAGGCTCTGGGGAGACCTTCTAGTGGCCTCCCAGTACCTGAAGGGGCTCCAGGAAGGCTGGGGAGGGACTTTGGCCAAGGGCAGGGAGTGACAGAACAAGGGGTGATGGCTTGAAAGTGGCAGAGGGGAGATGGAGATGAGATGTGAGGAAGAAATTCTTGGCTGTGAGGGTGGTGAGCCAGTGTCCCAGGTTGGCCAGAGAAGCTGTGGCTGCTCCTCCCTGGAAGTGTTCTCGGCCAGGTTGGATGAGGCTTTGAGCAACCTGGTCTAGTGGAAGGTGTCCCTGCTGATGGCAGGGGGGTTGGGACTGGATGAGATTTAAGGTCCCTTCCAACCCAAACCAGTCTGGGATTCTATGATTCTATGACCTGCTCAGGGGAAGCAGCATCTAGAAGAGCAGAAATACATGAACTGTAATTTCACTGAGCCACTTAGATCGAGGTGTCTTAGCAAATGCTGTGGGGACTCATGAGCGAGGGAGGGTTTGAGCTGCTGTGAGTCAGGATGGAGGCGATCTGGCAGCAAAGTCCTCACCAGAGCGTGGCTGTGCTGCGAACACGGTGCTACAGATGGAGGGAGGTGTGAACTGACGGACGCGGGAGGCCCAGAACAGTCACCCCAGGCATTGCCAGAGGCTTTGGCGAAAAGGACCAGAAATAGTGATTGTTTCAGATTCAAGACAATCTGCCTGTGTAACCTCGCACGTTGCACGGCGCCTGCACTGCACGCAGCTCTGGGTCTGGCTGCCTCTGCTTTCACCCAGCACAAGCTGCCATATGGCACTGCCCCACCTTTAGCAACGAGATGACGCTCAGACCCAGGACACCGGTGGCTTTTGGTTGCCTTTGTTCCTCTTTCCAGTTCTTCTTCATGAGACAGCCCACGGCCATCGTAACGACAGCTCGATGGGGTTACGCTACTCAAGAGCCTGGGTCCATGGCTGATTTTGGCCCTGCTGCAATTAATCTGGGCACACGTGGTATATCTCAGGATTATGGTTGTGTTCAGTACACTGCCAAGGTTTTAACATCTCACACAGATAAATGTCTATCTTTGGAGCTCTTTCTTCTTACCTCTAGTGCCTGATGTGAGTGTTCTCATTGTCTCTTAAGAAATAGTCACAAAAGCAAATGAATATTAACAATTTAACTACCCTGTGTTAGCTGCCCAAGTGGTGTTTGTACTCTAGGCTGGGTATAAAGCAGCTCATCTCACTTCCCAGTCACTTCACTCCTAACCTGGAATAAAATCCTGTACAAAGGCACAAATCTATTGTATGAGGGACCCCCATTCTCTGAGAGAGCAGGCTGTGTTTGGCTGCAAGGTGCAAGCCAAAAGGGTGAAGCCAATCCACCACACCTTGCAATCACTTGCACGTATGGCTCGGTGTTTAAACACAGGGAGTTAGAAACACACAGACATACAGGACAGGTACCAAGTGCTCACACCTGAGCAGGTTTGAGCATTTACTAATAGCAGCACTTCCAGGAACGTGTGTACAAACTAAAACTGCTCCTCCAGCAGCACATGCCTGTCCAGACTCAGCTGTACAGATTATTTGTATGCCCCAGCAGAGACCTCCATCCCTGCTCATGCAGAGGACAGCTCACAGAGCACTGGCTGGCTGCACACACACAACCCTCCTCCTAACAAAGCCTCTATTCATCCGAGGATGCGCTGGCTCCACCCGAGGGGAAGAGGAGCTTCCTCTATTGCTACCACATCCCCTTCGCTTTCTAAGCCTGTACGTGGCTCTCATCTTACACAAACCCTGCTGCTCTGAATCCTGCAAAAAGTCAAGGAGTATAATATCCGAGAGCAAAACACATCCTTTGCTTGCAGGTCAACAGAAAACACCTGCCAGTTCCATGAAAGGAATTACACACAATCCCAGACTGGTGGGGTTGGAAGGGACCTCAGGAGATCATCCAGTCCAACC